TGGGGGGTTTTGGGGGAGGTCCCAGTGGGTTGAGGGACATTTTTGGGGCGATGTGGATAAATTTGGGGCGATTTGGGTCAATTTTGGGTCAGGTTTGGGGTGACTTGGGTCAGTTTTGGGTCATTTTGGGATAATTTGGGTCAGTTTTGGGTCAAATTTGGGGCGTTTTGGGTCAGGTTTGGGGTGATTTGGGTCAGATTTGGGGTGATTTGGGTCAGTTTTGGGTCAGGTTTGGGGTGATTTGGGTCAAATTTGGGGTGATTTGGGTCATTTTTGGGTCAAATTTGGGGTGATTTGGGTCAGTTTGGGGTCGGATTTGGGGTGATTTGAGGCGATTTGGGCTCTTTTGGGTCAGATTTGAGCCAATTCAGGATGATTTGGGTCAAATTTGAGGTGATTTGGGTCAAATTTGAGCCAATTCAGGATGATTTGGGTCAGGTTTGGGGTGATTTGGGTCAAATTTGAGCCAATTCAGGATGATTTGGGTCAAATTTGGGGTGATTTGGGTCAAATTTGAGCCAATTCAGGATGATTTGGGTCAGATTTGGGGTGATTTGGGTCAGTTTGGGGTCAGATTTGGGGTGATTTGTGTCAGATTTGGGGTGATTTGGGTCAATTTTGGGTCAGATTTGGGGTGATTTGGGTCAGTTTTGGCTCCGATTTGTGCCACATTTGGGCCGATTCGAGTCCGATTCGGGGTGACTCGGCTCAGATTTTGACTCAGCGATTTTTGGGGACACTTCGGCCTTGTCCCCCCCACCCTAAAACCCCCTCACCCCCCCAAAAAAAAATAAAAAATCCCCCTCCCCTTTTTCCCACAGCCACCCCCTCTCCCAAGCCGTGTCCTTCAGCATCCCCTTCGGTCTGGACAGCGACGTCGACATCGTCATGGGCAACCCCGTGGGGGTCCCCGCTGGGACCCTCGCCCGTTCCGCCAGCTCCGACAGCCTCGCCCACCCCCGCCACCCCCCCAGGGCCACCCCTGCCACCCCCCCTGGTGTCCCCAACGGTGTCCCCGAGCCCCCCGAGCCCCCCAGTATTGAGGAAGCTTTGCAGATCATCCACAGCTCCGAGCGTCTCCTTCCCGACGGAGCTCCCGATGCTTTTTTCCTTCATTCCCCCGAACCTCAAAATTTTCCAAATCCACCCGGGACACCTCAAAATCTTCCTCAAAGTCTTCCTCAAAATCTTCCTCAAAATCTTCCTCAAAATCTTCCTCAAAATCCCCCTCAAAATCCTCCCCAAAATCCAGCTCGCCCCATGACCAGTTTTGCAGAACGGAAAAAAAAATTAGAGGAAGCCACCAACGCCGCGCCCCCAAATTCAAGCGGCGTTAATTCGGGAGGGGGGGTCTCCACCACGACCACCACCACCACCACCACTCCCGGGGGTCCCTCCGAATTGGGTGGGGGTCTCAGCGCCGAAATGACTCAGCTGGGAGCGCGTTTGGAAGAGAAACGCCGAGCGATCGAGGCTCAAAAAAAAAGAATCGAGGCCATTTTCGCCAAGCACCGCCAACGTTTGGGACAAAACGCTTTGCAACGACTCCGCCGAGATGAGGAGGGGGCTTCTCCAGCACCTCCCGAGGACGAATTGAGTCTGGGGGCTCCACAAAAAACTCCACAAGTCCCTGCGGGTCAATACGAAGCTGCCGTGGCCAGGTTGAGCGCTGCTCTGAACTCGCTGCAGCTCGACATGCAACGCTTGACTCAACAACAAGAGAGGCTCCTGCTGGAGCAACGACCCCACGGAACCCCCCAAGCTTGGGTGATCCCCCTCCCCAAATCCTCCAAGACCCCTTCGGCGACCCCAAAAAACGCTCCAGGTTCTCCAGCACCCGCACGGAGAGGAGGAAACAACAACAACACGGCGGGAAATTCGACGCCAGCAGCAGCAGCAGGAGGAGGAGGAGGAGGAGGAGCAAGCGCGGGTTCTGTCGCGATATCCACGAGTGGAATCGCGACTGGGGGGTCTCGTAAAGCCCCACCCCGTAGCCCGAGGAGACCCCGGCCCGCTGAGCTGAGGCTTCCCCCTCTAACGAGGGTGCTGACCCCTCCCCACGACGTGGACACGCTGCCTCACCTGCGGCGCTTCTCGCCCAGCCAGGTGCCCGTGCAGACCCGCAGCTCGCTGCGCTTCGCCGACGGCCAGGAGCAGGACGAGCGGGAGCAGGAGGTGAGATCCGGGGAAATTCGGGGGGATT